TGCAGGGTTGTTGAGAGGTTGAAGGTTAGGAGCCAGCAGTAGTTGTCAGTAAAAGCTCTCTGAGGCCGGGGTGGAGTCTTACCCTCTTTAGGCCCCGACCCCTCTGTGTCCTGCAAGACGCTGGGCAGAAAGGCAGCTTACAAAGCCCTGTTAGGTGGGCTCGTTGCTCAGAGGGTGAAACTGTTTGGGTTTAAAATTCGATTGCGGTATTCTACTGCTTAAGGGTCCCCGGCGTGGTTTGTTTCGGATGCCAGGCCTTGGTTGGTTGGTCAGAGTAGACCTTATATTTTGCCTGCAGGCTCCGAGTGAACATATGGGGTTACTATAACCAAAGGAAAACGTCCATGGGCAGAACAAAACCCTGGCACCATAAACGACCCCTTTGCACTGGCAGTCAGATGCAGGGCTAGTGCCTGACAGACCAGCCCAGCCTCCGCCTCCTGCCCGCCCCGCTTCTCAGCCCTTCCACCCCCGCCACCTGTGAGGTGGTTCTGCCCTGCAGCCCACCCAGCAAGGCTGGAAGGTGGGCACAGGCAGTACGCAGCCAGCATGAGCTCTGCAGCTAAGGAGAGTGTGGCCTCACACTGTGACTGCACGTCTTAGAACCACCCGACTGTGTGCTGGAGGAGACACGGGAGGGACAGGACAGTAGAAAGAATCTGCAGTTCTTCCCCTGCCCCTCAGAGACGAGTCCAGAAAAGGGAGAGGCCTTAGCATCTTCCATCAGTTTAGCCCTCACCTCGCTTACTTTTCCTACATAATTGGACCTGTTCTGTGACCAGCCCAAGGGACTAGTTTAGTTCAGAGCAAGACTAGGTAAGATCGGCTCTATTTAATCATTTTACTATGGCTTTTGGCTCTACTTCCATTCCTCACCGGTTCACATCCACAATCCCAGACACAGATGCACAGTCCTATCTTCCCATCCACACCTCCTCGTTCGTGACCCCAGCTGAACTGTACCACACCCCCAGGCCCCCACAGAGGGGACTCAGAGCTCCAGGAGGGCCTGAAACACCTGCATGCTGGACCACAGGGCAAAGGCAGAGCCCAGCAGACAACGGGTGAGGGGCCGTATCCCACTGGCTCTTCCCCCAGACTCCCTGGCCCCACAAGAGATTCCACTACAGGGCCTTGAGCTGTGGAGTCAAACCTGGCCTTTGTAGTGAGAGGCACTGTTTGGCTTTGTTCCTTCGCCCTCATTTTGGTGCAGGTGAATGCAGTGGTGCTCTGGAAAGGCACAAGGACGCCCTTTTTTTTACCCCACACATTCTGCTTTTTCTGTTGTCGTTTTATGAGGGGAAGGTGTATTTGGAGGGGGTAGTGGGGATTGAACCCAGGACCTCGTGCATGCTAAGCATGCAGCTCTACCACTGAGCTGTACCCTCCTCACAAGGACACCTTTTTTAAAAACTAGAATAAGCTTTAACTTTTAAATAAAATGCACACTTTAGCTCAGGGATATAAAAACAAACAGTATTGTGTTATAAAACCAAACAATATTGTGTTTAAAAGATAATAGCTGTACTTCTAGTCTTCAGGCCTTTTTTTAACTTAAAAATTTTTTTATTGAAGTGTAGTTGATTTACAATGTTAGTTTCAGATGTACAGCAAAGCGATTCTGTTACACATACATATATATACATTTTTCAGATTCTTGTCCATTATAACTTAATCACAAGAAGAAATTGAAATTTGTTGGAGTTTTTTTTCTTCCTTTTTCCCTTTGAAAGTTGTCTCCAGCTTGATCTTATAGTGTCTATTTTTAATAACAAATATCATATTCCGGACCCCCTATACCTATATGCCTGCCAGTGTCTTGGCACTTCCAGTACGCCATCTGGAATCCTTACTACAATCAGGGGACCCTGAGGGGTGAAGGTGCCTGCAGGTGTGAGGAGGGGCCCGGACTCAAACCCAGGGCCCCTGGCTCTCAACCTGAACTGCATGTGGGAACCACTTAAGGAGCTTGAAACACCACAACAGGTGCCTGGGTAATGAAGGAGGTTCTGGGCAATGTGGCCTGAGCACAGGGATTTTTTACCAGCTCCAGGTGACTCTAATATGCAGGAGACACTGCAAATCTTGCTCAATGCATCCGTGAAATCTCTTCAGCTGTCGATGTCTTGAAACTCCCCACAGCTAAAACTCTAAAATAGAATTCAGATCATCCGAAATTAAACAAGCTTTTAAGGCAATTTGAGGGGCTGGGGTGGGAAACTAGTTGATCTCATAGACGTTGGGGTTTGTGGACTGAGTGTGTGGAGGCTACTGATGGGGACCAGTGAGGGCAAGCGCCCCTTCCAGCAGGGGTCTGAAGGGACAGTTCTGGTTCCCTCTGCCCTGGACACAGGAGGTCATTTTTCAGAAATGCTTTATGTCTCATACAGCCTTTCGTCCCTGACCCTTGGGAGGGAGGGAGGGAGGGAAGCCGGGTGGTCTGCCTGCTCTGTGCACGATCTCTCTGCTTGTCCCAGATCACAGCCAAAGCAGTGAAGTCAGCCAGTCAGAGGGAGAGCCCTGGCCTGACATCGAGAGCTTCAGTAAAATGCCCTTTGACGTCAGTGTGCATGACCCCAAGTACAGCCTGATGAGCCTGGTATACACTGAGAAGCTGGCAGGGGTCAAACAAGGTCAGTGTAAGCTGAGCCTGAAGGTCAAGGGGAACCTCAGTCGGGGCAGGAGGCCTGGGGCGCTTTAATCTTTGAGGGCAACTGCAGTCACTCTCCTCTGCTTTTCTGTCGTTTTACACACGTACATGCCACCCTCCCGCTTTCATGCCTGCCTCTCGGGGCCTAAGTTACAGAATCCCAGGAAAAGCCCTTGGGGAGCAGGGGACTTTCTTCCCAGGCATAGGGGCTTCAAGCACATCATGGGAAGGCTTTTTTGCTCCTTTATACACAGAAGCAATAAAGGAATCCAGAGTCGAAGAGCCCCAGAAACGCGAGACTGTGTCCATGATGCTGACCAAGTACGCGGCCTACAACACCTTCCACCACTGCGAGCAGTGCCACCAGTACATGGACTTCACCTCTGCCTCCCAGGTGCAGCCCCTTTGCCCTTGCCCGTCACCCCACGTGGATTTTGTATGTAAGGGATATAAAGTAAGGGTCCCGGTTTCAAG